TTTCAAAATGTTGGGGGGGGGGGGGGGTTTTTTTTTTTTTTTTTTTTTTTTTTTTTTGCTCTGGTGTATCCTCCTTTCGGTAACAGCCTATTGTGAGCCAGAAATACAGCATCTCAAAGGGGTATTGGCGGTGCATATTTTTCATGGAGATTTACACTAATTGCTTATCAGTGTGCCATAAGCAGTAAATCTGAGTCGGGAAGTGCTGCTTGTGTTGCTGACTTTTTTTTTTTTGTTGTTATGAGCATTCCGTGATAATGTTGGAATCAGCACGTCTGCATGTGCTGCCAAAATTTCACAGACCGTACCGGTTTACAAAGACCACCATCTGTGATACTGTGGATAATTTGCTCTAATGAATAAAGAAATAATAAAGGGCGGCAAAAAGGCAAAAATTCCATCCAAGTAACCACGGGCGTGGCTGAGCTAATTAAGTGGTTGTTTTGATTTACATTTTATGCTTTTTACTTATTAGGGTTAGTTGATGTTTATTGTCCTCTTAAAATACTTTATGTTCTCTAATGAGACCATAGATGGGTGTTTTGTTGGCAATGAGCACTGTGTTGCACACAACTCATACTAACTGCAGGTTAGGGGTGTTAAGCACGCCCTGAGGTGGCTTGCAGCAATTTTAGGAGGACTTAAATCAGAGTTACAGTTGATAACCCTTTGAATACATAACATTTATATTTCTCTCAATTTGGGGAAAATATGGTAATTATCTTGAACGGCCGGCATATTTCTGGGCTGGTCCTGGACATCACGGCTTTTTGGATTTTTCTTAATTTAGTTTTTTGCTTCTTCCAAAGTGCTTCATTTCCTTGTTTTACATTGTTTGGAATTAAATACTTTTATGAGAGCACTCTTGCTTCGCCTCCTTTCTTCCCTCCATTTGCGTCCTTCTAAATCCTCAACGCAAACCCCGCACCAAAACAGTTAGGAATGCATACTGGTCACGCTTCCACACTCTTTTCTTTTAAATACTGTATATATTTACTGCAAGCAGACAATTTGCATGCAAACAACCAAATATGTGAGCTTGCTGACAGGATGGACAATGACAGAGTGGACATTTTTGGCCACTGTTAGCGTTGATTGACCACATGGTGGACCTTCAGTTTGCAACATGATTCAGTTAGCGGGATGTGTGCCGTTTCTGAAAGGATTTTATTTCAAGTTGATATTTCACTATGGCAGAGTTAAGCTTTTCAACATCCAATGAGGCACACAATAAGCAGTTATTCCATTAAGACAGGATGGATATGATGGGGAATGCCAAAATCGCATACAACCCGTGTGTGTGTGTGTGGGGGGGGGGGGTTGCATTAGATGCAAGAAACATATCACACTGGTATGTGTGCAAATGTTTGGCATGTGTATAATAAGACATGAGTTTCATTATTCTGCTCATAAACTATTTCACCTTCCTGACTGTATAACCTCATCCTAATAAACCTGTTTCGGTATGTGTAATTAATGAGTTACCTGTTGGATACTGTGGTGGTTGCCCGAATGCTCCTTCCTTGTGCATTCCTGCCTCTGCTGGACTCATCCGAACCATTTAATAGCGAAAGCTCTCGCAGTTGCTCCTGTCTGATCTCATCATTGTAGTCCTGTGGAAGCAAAACAGGATGCCTCACGTATTAAAAACTAAACATGCAATTGCGCTCGGACTCCCACAGACATTCTGAACGGAAGCAGCTGTCATCAAATTAACATCGTCGTGATGGGTGTTTTCATTGGAATGAATAAAAAAGTAATAGTATCTGTTTTGCATTTACCTCCCACTAAATCGTCCATCGCAGACCATCTTCCTATTTGTGTTGGAAAAGAAAATCTAATTGAAGGTTTCAACTTTTTTTTAAATTTTTGATGGCTGAGAACCAATTTAGTCAACCCATTACCAAACATGATAATAATTACACAGAGAGGCAGCATGGCAGGAAAATTAATGACCCTGTAATTTCTGATAAAACAAACATTATTTTCAAGAAAGAAACGCCATGTCAAGTCAAAATAATGGCCCACTCCCGTCTTAAATGTGTTATTGGTAATAAAGATGTGATGGCAACAGTTTCTGTTTTTTTGTGACATGTTTTCACAGTTTTAACTAGAAAAGTAAAAACCCTCCAAGGGTAAATGAAGCGCGATGAATGAACATTGTTAAAATAAATGTAAAATAAGTAGATGTTACCCCTTATTTTAAATATAAAAAGATAGAGTATTTTATCTGTAACATTTTCATGGTCGAGATTAAAGCAATAGCTGGGGCACCTCTCACGTCGTTGGTGCTAATATTATATGTACAGAGTTTGCACAGCCTTTATTGCACAGAGAATTTTTGATTCATAGCAAAAGATATATATATTTAAAAAAAAAACAAACAAACATCAGTTTTGTAACTATTTTGGAATATGACTTGACTGTCAAGTCGGACAACGGGCTCTATTTCTGTGCCTGCTGCAAGGCTCACGCGCGGTACGGCCTAAATCTGCGCGGAGGCGGTCGAGACCAAGCTTTTGTATTTCCACAGATGCATGCAACTTGCCACAGTTAAAAATGTCCATTTTGTGCCGTTGTGGGTGTGAACACAACCAACTTGATTAGTCATCAATGAAAACAGCTCCTTTTATTCCTTTTAAAATTGGAGCGAAAGAGGCACAGGCCTTCACATGGCGGGAGAAAAAAATGATTTGCTCATGTCCACGCAGGTGGTCGGAACACACAGAGTACACTTATGAGGAAATGCAAGCAGTCTTCCTTGGACAGATGATGTAAAGTTGGCCAGGGAGATCGCGGTTGTGAAGTGGGCACTTTGCCTTCCACCCCTATCGTTCACGTCTGTGGGTATCACAGTGGCTGTGCGTATTTTTGATTTGCAGCATGGGGGGTGTAATAATTGCAATAAAAATTAAAACCAATATATATCTATTCCTTGAACAGTTTTAGTTGCATTCAATTATTCGCATAATTCACTGTATGTCAAAATTTATTCCTGTGGCATTGAAGTAAATGGCACTAACTAAAATTAAGTTACAGTACTCATTCACCCAACATCATTGCTTTTGAACTATTTTAGATTCTGTAGAGCTCTTGAGTGCAGCCACATACACATTTATTTTAATTCATAGACAGAAATACTGCACAATGTTTCATGGGATAACATCAACATGAGATGGCAACTCATAAATAAAAAATGTGCTGCCTTTTCTCTTCATATCCTGCTTTTGTGCAGTTCTTTTGATCACATCTATAAGCCCACCGACGCTGCATTTAGTCATCAGGATAGCTCAGAGGATATGTTTGCCTGACAACAATTTGTTTCAACCAAGAACAGATTATCAACAAAAATAAGAAACGCGACTTAAATTATTCTTTAAAAATACACATATGCAAATTGGAAAACCCTTGCAGAATAATTATCCACTGGTAAAAAGAACATCAGAACAATGAACAATTTTCGCCATACAATTTTCACTTGCACATAGTCCAAAGCACAGCAAGTTCCGTATGGTGAAATACCCAGTAGCGTATGTCGAACAGGATTATTTATTATTATTACTCATGCAGTGTATGCATTCATCTGCAGTTGACATTTAATTGCAATGTTAGAAGATGTCACCATAAAATGATACTAAGGAGTTCACTGCGTGAGTTTCCTTTCTCAATCAATAATGTCTATCTCGTACGAAACTAAAAATACTGCTGAATTTTTGATGAAAAAATTTTGATGAAGATCATTTAATTTTTGTTGTGAATTTGAACTGTTTTACCCGCACGGGTAAAGGCACTGTTGTTTCGGTTTCAACTGATTTGTGCTCTAACGAATTTAGATGCATACAGTACATCTGCGAAAACACATAAAATCAAGGCACAAATGAGAAGGTAAACACGTTGCTTGCTTGTGTTGTTTCTTGCAGGAGCATCCGCAGAGTCCTATTTTGATTTGTTTTGTCAGTTTTAAACGTGCACTACCAACACCGACAGGACTTAATTAGAGCAGCAACCAACAGAGTGTGAGCATTTTAGTGGTCTTGATGGACTTGTACAGTTTGAGTTAAGAATTTAAAATGGACACATCCAAAATCATTAAGAGTATGCCCACATTTAAACGTTATACAAAGTCAATCTATGTTTTTAAATAAATCAATCAAGCATGACCCTAAATGCTTGATTAAGATATTTCAGCAGCAGGTAAGGCAGGGAAGGCCACACAGACAAAGAAGGAAGATACTTTTACATTCTTCAATGAGAGTAAATGATCTACAACAGCACAAACTAAATGCCAAGCAAAAGCCATGAGTGCAAGACGTTTCGGCAATCAAGATTTTACACATGAACATCACGAGTGAAAAAAAAAACAAAACAAAAAAAAACCCCTCATGCCAGACATCAAAAACATTTGACACGCCGTGCACTTGTTCATGAATTAATATGGCCGACAGCATTCTGTTGGTATGAACTCAGATTGGCAGGTCTTTTAATTGGAAAGCTGGCAGTTTATTCAAAGCGCTAGAAACGTGCCAGACCTTGTAAATGTTGACTGTTGACAGAGGCGTTAGCGTGAGTACACAGAGATAAACCGCGCCCAGGCGCTTTGGGTCAGACTGTTTGCTCACAGAGATTAATTTTGACCATGCGTGATGCACTTCGCCCATCACGGAGCTAAAGTTGGATCTCGAAGGGGTTAACATGCCAGCCAATGCTATTCACGTTCGGCCAAGACAATGCGGAGCTTTTTTTGTAAACTGTTTAACCTACACGCTCCTCGGGGTGCTCTTTCATTTCGTGTCCAAACACAGCAGTCTGCGCTCTCCTAGCATATTACGAGACTATACAAATGACAGAAGTTCACCACTCCCTGTATTCCGAGAACCAAAAAGTGTACCTGCTTGGCAGTGGTAATTCATGAGAAGCATAACACTACAGTCATTTAAAACAAAAGTGTGGCCTTTGTTCCGCTCTCCACAAATGCAGAAGAATGACTGAACACCTGTCGGCACCATCGACAAGCTATCGCTGCCTTATGCGCCGCAATTACTCTTCTTGATCTTATTATCACATCGACACTGGTTAAGACTCTTAAACATACTGCCTAGTGAACACAAATCTTCACAGAGCGCAGCAGGCATTGTTCATGAAGCTTAAGGAGCTTTGCAAAAATCCCCACAATGCCGGCCGCCCTGCACAAGTTCCTGCTGAAAAATGTTCTCTGAAGCACCATGTGACTGTTTATCTACACGCACACAACTGCAGCAGGATTGCGGTGTCTATTGCTAAGTTAGTCAATTAGATCAGCTCACTTCACATCACTAGGCTGTCAATTTATACACTGTTTTGTACGTTCTCATGCTTAATGGTTGACTTTGTCCTTTTGCTGCTGCTCAGGGGGAGTGCTGAATGAAGTGATCCTAGTCATCCTGGTGACATCACTGCAATTTGTATATTGCTCCCACTTTTGCTTTGATTACGATGACTCTATCCTGTAAGCTGGACGCTTAAAGTTACCATAAATGACGCCCTAAAAAATTTTAATAAAACATTTTAATAAAAAATATTTGTTGTTCGTTTCACAAAACATCCATGGCAGGTTAATGGAACACTCTCAATTATCCCTAGGTGTGAATGTGAGCCCGAATGGTTGTTTGTCTCGGTGTGCCCTGCGATTGGCTGGCAACTGGTTCAGCGATCGGCTCCAGCACGCCCCGTGACCCTTGTGAGGATAAAGTGGATCAGAAAATGAATGGATGGATGGATGTATTAAATCTTACTGGACAGCCGTCAGTTTGATTTTTAGTTCGGAATTTGATGCAGTTTTTTAACTTCTCACTTTTTAACGTCATATTGGAACAAACTCATCCTATAAAAATTACCCGATCGTCTTCAATTTTTCATTTAGTTTCAGTTTCATCTAAAAATGTTTCCGATGAAAATATCTTGAAAGCTTGGTATGCTGTTGCCATGGCAAAGAAACATTTTGGCTACTTTTGAGGGTCTAAACCAGCGGTGTCAAACATACGGCCCGCGGGCCGTATCCGGCCCACAAAGGAGTTTAATCCGGCCCGCGAGATAATTATGTAAAGCAGGGGT